ATCATCGCAAAAAGAAAAGTTTAAAAATTGAAGAGCCATTTAGAGGTCTAGATAGGAATAAATCAGCATTTTCTAAGGCTCCTATGAAATTTTTTGACTTCCTTTCCAAATAAAGAGAAAGAATGTGAAGGAACTTTCGAGAGGCCTATGACAGGTCTAATCTAGCCGCAATTCAGGATGTCAGTGAAATTCTGAAGCTCATGTTTATTCCGAGTGTTCGATACATCATTAAAAAAAGCATTCAAAAATCATTGAAAATCATCATTTCAAAATTATGCCTTGTGTACATAAGAATTCAATGTCGGTGCAATGTTGGGGTGGATTTACAACAGGGGTTGGTGTCTGTAGCTAAGTATATAGCCAATATTTAAGGAAAAAGAGGAATCGGTAGCCAAATTTTGTGTGATGGTATAATAGTAGGGACCGTTTTCTGTGAGCATATATAATCTACATGCAGAAGAGGCATCTAAATGTATATTTGTGGTTATTTATTTTTAAAATTAAGGCCTTCACTGCATTTATTTATTCCATGCTATTTGTTAATGTCCAAAGAGCACTGTTTGGATAGAACAACGTTGTTATTCCCTTAGAGTGCTCATACAGTTTATGTTTTCGTAGACCCTACTTTAGACCCTCATATGTGTGAACTTATGTATTTATTTAGAGATCAGAAAGTAAAAATATGATTTAGTGTTTTTGTGGTGTTAATTAAAGTCTTAACATTCTGTTACTATATCCAATATCATGTTTTAATGTAGCGTATTCTATTCTTTGCAGTTAATCTTGAAGGGGATTGATTTTGAAATGACTAATCGTGAGAAATACAACTAGGAATGGCCGATTCAAGTGGACCATGTCATTATTTCCGACATTTAGTCCCAAATATGCATATCCATGTTTGATGCCATTAGTATATGTGATTTCCAGTAAAATTGTTAATTAAATGAGTAAACTGCAAATATAGCTAGCGTATGGGAAATATCAAACAGTAAAGGTTTTATATAAATGACGGTGATGAAAAATTCTGCTCAGTAAATGTCTGTTAACATTTACAAATGAAAAAACATGAAGAAAAAAATGGAACACACACAGTAAGCTATCATTGTTGTGATTAATGATGTTTAATTATGTTGAATTATGTATATTTGTAAATAATGAAAGAGCAATATTATGAAGACTATTGTGATATTGAGTTCAACGGCATCTGCTAAGAGCAAGAATGTATTCTAGCTGCATGAATTGTATTGTCACTTAAGAGCCAAAAAAGCATAGCACACGAGTACATGCAAGAAGTCTGTTAATAAATTGTTTAAAAAAATGATCAATTATATATTATAATGAGTAATTTCTGTGAATATCCATTATTTATTTTTGAGAGAATTTTCAAAACAAAAATGACATCCTGCCAGTGGAGTTATTCCATGGTCAATCAATTTGAGCTACAGAAATGGATTAGTTACTTCTACATTGTAACTGTCAATTTAGGGCTTTGAATAAAAATATTACATGTAGCAAGGAGTCTGTGCTCTGGTAGGCATTTTTGTTTACAATAACAAATTTGGTAAATATTTTTCTTTCAAGGTAAATATTATTCTTTCCATGATACAACAGAGCCCGAAAGGCAAGGAAGAAAAAAAAAATTGTAAAACAATTTCTTTGTCTACAGAGCTTTATTATTTCTTGTATTTTTGTGTATTCTTTTTAGGTAATGTATGTGTATTGCAATTAGGTCTAAAGGGATAGTTGAGTTTTGGTATAGAGGGTGCTACATACAATAATTTTTTTTGTGAGATAATGAAAAACCTTTGGTTGTTGGTTGTAATATCATGAATAAATTAAATTAACGGTCACCATATTTTTTTTGTAAAGTATATCTGAATTGGTACGATCAGATTTACTCTAAATTTCACACATTTTGGGGTCTAAAATGACCTTCGTAAGCAATTTTAGTTTCTAAAGGGGCACTGCAAGTGTCATAAATAAGAATAAGATCAATAACCATGCACTTTGAAGGCATAATTTGTTGTCTTAAACAAGAACTCAACTGTCCCTTTAAGTAAAAATGCTCATTTTCATGAGATAATTGGAAGAAAGTTGAAATAGGCGAATATGTTGCTGTAAAATCTGTCATTTATTCTAAACACGATTTCAAGTATTTCCAAGAAACCAAAAGGGCGATTTCACTACACGTTTGAAACCTATTACTAATTGGTTGTGAATATTCTCTCAGTGGTGTTTGTATGGTTGTATAACAAGTCTTTTATTTTTTCAAAATTGGACTAAGTGCCTTTATTTTTCTAGGTTTGTTATGAAATGTGTCTACACATCATTCCTATACCACCACCCTCCACTCAAATATCATTTCAGGAAAACTGAATTTAGTTTTTCTTTTCCTTTTTTGAAATATGTGGGGGAGTGTCATCACTTATCAATGATTTGTCTAGAATAGTTTACAAACTAAGCTTTGATTCTGGAAGTATCTTGCGAAACATTCAAAATTTGTTATGATCATTACCGTATTCCACTGATGCCCCCCCCCCCCAAATATTCCTATTGTGAATGCATCCTGCAATGTATTTTGAACGCCATGAACTTTACCCATATGTACATGTATTTTCCATGTTATAGTACATTGTCAGATGCGTACTTAATCAGAGGAAAAGCTTTTCAGTATTTTCGCGGTGTGCCAAATGCCACTTTTACATGGTCATGTATAAATAGGAGATTTAAAATATTAGAAAAAGCCAATTTGGACGCCATTTTAATGTAATCTACCCAGCAGGTTGATTATTCATTCTAATAGAACATTGAAATGTATCATAAATTTATGTTGATAAAGAAAACATTTTTGTGGAAGTTATTGTGACCTATTTGAAAATGGTGATGAATCTATTTGAATTGTACTGTACAGGGTTGGATCCAGGATTTTCAAGGGGAGGGGGGGGGGGGGGGGGGGGGGAGACGTGAAGGCATGAAATGTAAGCCATTGCGAGCACGGAGCCTTTACGGCATGGGGTCTGGAAAATATTGACCCCTAAGATGCTCTATCATGAGTTAACCTGCATTTGAAATTGACACATATTGAGTAACAGCTATATGCTTTCATTATTGATGACTAATTCATGACAAATGCAAGGTATCCATTGTGTAAATCTTTAAAAGTTGTGTGTCCTGAAGTAAAGAATACAAAGAGGATTTCAACTCATTTGTAGTGCATGGCAGGCTAACCTATATCAGTTGCAAACAATGCATAAGTCTATCTGCTTTCATTAAACTACTACTAATCCAAGATAATGCTCTGTGTTCATTTGTTGTTGTTTGAGAGCTTCATTTTGTAGAGAGTTAATCCCTTATGAAAAAAAGAAAAGGTTTAGAACAACAATATTCATGTACATGGAGTTATTTCACATAATAGTGGGCTCTTGTATATTGCTCATGCCCGTCAGACTTCACACTCGCGGCACTTACTCCACAATATTGAAACGCGGCTTTAGCATGGCTGCAATTATGGTGCTCTAGCATTTCAAGGAATGAATTCATGCAAGGTACCCATTTACCTCACCTGGGTGGAGAGTTGCAAATGTAGATTAATGGCTTGTCAAAGGACATTTTATCTTTATCTGTGTGTTTTTGATTTGATTTTGATTTGATTTTGATTTATCGGTTTCTGCATCATACATTTTTATGAACATAATATGGTTTGATACAAGTGTTTCTCACTCGCTTGCATTCTATTTCCCCTTTTCACTCGACAACATCTCTCTCTCATTCAACCCTCTGACACTCCTAAATCTTTCTTTTTTTCTAAATTTGCTTCTCAAACTGAAAAAAGACTGTAGCAAACGTTTTGATTTGTGTACAAAATATTTATGTGATATGTGCCAAGGAACTTGATGTATGCTTACAAAAACTATTTCATTTTTTTTTCCTTCAGGAACTTTATGCCTTTTCTGCGTGTTCTTAATTTCCTTATTGAAATTAAACTGTAATATAAAACTTATACCTAGACCATTTGAAAAGTGCGTCTAATTGGAAATGGTATACCTTCACCAATTTCAAATGTATTTAGTACAGGTCATGTGACATGAGCATAATAAATATATCTTAGATTACCATTTTTTAAAATTTATTTTACATCAATGCAAATCAATTTTTTTTTTAACCTTTTTAATTTAAGCATACAGTAAGTATTTTACTAGCTAATATTTGAACCGTCTGGTGGACATCATAAACTATTCCAAAGAAATATAAATTTGCATCATACAATATACACGTAGATTAATATGCGTATTATGAGCTCAAAATCTACTTAAAGGAAGTTTTATAATTCTTTAATCTGCTTTTGTTAAACTATACATTTGTTCACAGCAACATGTCTTGAAAACCCCATGAAATTATTTGGGCATATTCAATTTACAGGTGTCAAAATGTAAATTTCTTGATCCTTAGCTTAACTGTAAATGTTGCGAGTTCCAAAAGACTAATTTTACATTGAAAGCAAGGCTAATGAATTATATTTTGTGAAACTATTTTTTAAAGACATTTTCATTGACAATGAATGAACGTTCGTACAGAACTTCATATAAATTTTAACTCTATTAATATAAATGTATGTTAAACATGTATGATAGCAATAGCAATAAAACCTACTTGGCAAAGTAATTCCAACATTTACAAAGTATTTACACTATTAATCTTCATATGTACAAGAAAATAATCACTTTTTGACAAAAAATTGAATGTTTACAAGCATCGAGAGCATATTAGACGAGCATGTCTAGAACTAAGTTTCTATAATTATGATATCTTATATTCTAATGAAATTTTCAGCAGATACATAAAAACTTAATGAATTTTTAAAAAGATCACAAAACTACTTCTAAAAATTAACTAGCGAGGTGGTAAACTGTGCAATGAGTATTCCAAAAAACTTTAAAACTGATTGACAGCTAATTGTTACCAACACTTTTGTCATTACCGGTAATAGCATTTCGTTTTTCGACAGAACATTACATAAAGTTCCGGCGGTCTTGTTGTTGCTTGTTTAGAATTAAGGTACATGCAATCCATAGCTCCTACTTGGGAATGATTTTTCTGATAAAAAGGGCTATTTGGTAATTTTCACAAAATTTAAAGAATATGTACAGCATGAAATTGTGAATGTATCCAAGTATTGCAAAGTTGTTTGATCCATGACGATTGCGTCTCACGAGTCTCCAGACTTGAGGTTTCATGATCATGGCCTTTAGCGCTGGACTGAACAGCAGTAGCCCTAGGAAGGAAAAAATACAAAATGTCTGGTCAATTGATTTAGATATCTAAAACACTCCATCGGAAACTGGAATTTGCATTTGATGTAGATATCATGCATTTGTTAGAATGATTTATCTTGATGCATCTTCACTTTTCTTCAGACCAGAATGTAGCCTTAATCCAGCAGATCTGATTTATTTATCAGGTCAGACTAATATGCGCCCTGGATGGAGCGGTCAAATACGTTTTCTCCCTCTCTTGAATTAGGACTTTTAAAATGGAGGTAATCATGTGAGGCTACGCTTGGTCAAAAAAAGGAATATTATTCCTATCATATTCTTCTTTTCCTTTCCTTTAAAAAATAAAATATGCACGTACCTTCTGTCCAGGTGCAGGTCTCGAGACGGCAATCCTGTCATAGAATGCTTTCACTGGAGCAAAACATTTCTAAAAATGAAAAACAAGGCAAATAAATATTTTGAATGGTTATTGTCAGTTTCATGTTCACTGTGAATAACATCATAGACTTCATCTTAAATAGAAAGGGCTTTCAGAGTACATGTATGTATATGTAATGTTTATGTTTTCGTAAGTGCTTTGTATCTGCTTTATGGAATTTTGTTATAAAATAAAACAACTGGGACTATTATCATTATTATATTTACTTTAACACCACCCCCCCCCCCCCCCCTCCCTTCAAAAATGCTTCCCTTAAAGCTTTTAGGCAGATTGCATGTTTATTAAGAAGTTACATAACTCTTTCTGGCAAACAGAATTAAAATGTATCTACAATTAAAAAGATTTTTTTTTTGGGGGGGGGGGGGGGGTCTGTGAAAAGGATGAATTAGCAAAAACTGTATTTCCTTTGTGGCCTTCCGCTAATCATTTTTGCACCTTAGACATTTCTTTCCATTGGATTCGGTACCTTACAAATCTGACTGCATATTATCACTGTCATTATTTTTGTAATCATTAAACATTGTTCAGGTCATGGGCGTCAATCCTGGGGGGGGGGGGGGGGGGGGGGGGGGGGGGACACGTCCCCCCCACGAATTTTCTTTTTTTTTCTTTCTTCCTCTCTTTCTCTCTGTGTTGAGAAAAATCAAACCAAATCAGGCGATCAGATTTTATTAATAGAACTAGAAGTGTCATTAATATTACATTCACATTACCGGAAGTTCAAACATTGGTTTACAATGAAAATCCTTTCACCAACTGAAAAAAATCAAATTAATCCCTTGTATCTTCCAAACTTTATGGCTGATAATGGAAACAACAAATTCATCTATCTACCCCCCCCCCCCCCCGGTTGCGTTCTTGTTCCTGTTAGTTGAACTTAAGACTGTTTTCTTTTTAATTTGGCAAAAATTAAGCCCAAAATCAAGCCATCTATCCATCAATTTAAACAAAAATCGTCAACTTCTGACGGGTCACACCCAACCCCCCTCAGACACCCCCTGCGTTCTACAGTTTTCTTTTTGATTTGGCAAAAAGTATGCACCAATTCGAGACATCTATCCATCAATTTTAAAAAAAATCTTCAACTTCTGAGGGGGGTTCAGACACCCCCTGCGTTATATTGGTTTCTTTTTAATTTGGCAAAAAGTATGCCCCAAATCAAGCCATCTATCCATCAATTTAAACAAAAATCTTCAACTTCTGAGGGGTCACACCCCCTGTGTTTTACTGTTTTTTTTGTCTAATTTGGCAAAAAGAATGCACCAAATTGAGCCATTTATGCATCAATTTAAAAAAAAAATCAACTTCTGAGGGGGGCTCAGACACCCCCTGCGTTCTTGTTTCTTGTTAGTTGAACTTAAGACTGTTTTCTTTTTAATTTGGCAAAAAGTATGCCCCAAATCAAGCCATCTATCCATCAATTTAAACAAAAATCTTCAACTTCTGAGGGGGGCACACCCCCTGTGTTCTACTGTTTTTTGTTCTAATTTGGCAAAAAGAATGCACCAAATTGAGCCATTTATGAATCAATTTAAAAAAAAAAATCAACTTCTGAGGGGGCACATCCCCTCAGACACCCCCCCCCCCTGCGTGGCGCGCTCATTCGCCCCCCTTACAAAATAACCTGGCGCCGCCCTGTCTGAACTTGTGTCCCCCCCCCCCCACGGTCTGATTTGGATTGACGCCCATGGTTCAGGTGTCTTCTACTGCACAAGCCACAAGCCAGATTTGTCCAACACGACATCAGAGTGACATTACCATTTCAGCTTACTTGAAATTGTAGGAATTCCAACTTTCAGAAATTCATAACTTTCTTATTGTTTGTCTAGTTATTTTTCATTCAATCTTTATCTAGCTTGTTCTTTCTCTGAATTATCAGCATTCTCCTAAGGCAATTTGCTAGTAAGGTTGTATTTCCCTTTACCGGTAATTGTTTTTTTTACCAATCACCTGTCAGCTTCTTATTCATTCCCATCCCAAACATCATTTTTGTATAATAGGAATTATTAAGTTTTATAAAGGATTACCCCTCCCCCAAGCTTAAATGTGGCAATCTTTCTTCCTGATTATTTTATGTTGGTATTACATTGTCAGTATTTTGCGTAGATAATGCATTAATTATATAATTTTTTTATTATCATGATTATGTTTTAATGAGTAACTTTAGAAAAAGATCGCATGACGAGAAATAACCTGTCTACAGAGACCACAATTTCTGTTTCCCTTGTAAATGGTTTCTCATTGAAACATGTACTAAAGGAACCTGTACATAAAGACCATGCACCTGCCAATAAAGACCACTGTTCTTGTCTCCCTTGGGTGGTCTTTATGGACAGGTTTCACCGTAGGAGTAAATCAGACTGAATCTCCTGTTTTTGTTATCTTGAAAATGGTTTCTCATTGAAACATGTACTAAAGGAACCTGTACCGTAAAGACCATGCACCTGCCAATAAAGACCACTTTTTTGTCTCCCCTGGGTGGTCTTTATGGACAGGTTTCACTGTAGAAGTAAATTACCTTGAGTGCCTCAAGGCATGACATGCTCATTCCGTTTGATCCCAAGAGTTGGCCGTCTGATTCCTCGTTAATCGCTAGGGTCTTGGCATTTTTAGCTTTCTCAAGATGGGACCCTGCCTCCGTGCATCCATTCTCACCCCAGTTCACCTGTGATGATGTAATAAGAATAATACAGTGTAATAATACTACTACTAATAATAGCGATAACTATACTACTGCTACTACTGCTACTATTACTGCTACTATTACTAGTACTACTACTACTACTACTACTACTACTAATAATAATAGTGATGATAATAATAGTAATAATAATAATAATAGCGAAAAATACTACCACTGCTACTACTACTACTAATAATAATAATACTAATAATAATAGCGATAATAATACTGCTGCTACTACTGCTATTACTACTACTACTACTACTACTACTAATAATAATAATATTAATAATAATAATAGTGATGATAAAAAAAAAATAATAATAATAATAACAATAATAATGATAACAACAACAACAATACAAATAATAATAAAATTAATAATAACAATAATAATAATAATTGTAATTAACAAAATTATAATGTATTCATATAGTGCATTTTCCACTTACATGTTCAAATTCCTTTACAATATTATGTTATTCACAGAAGAAGTGAGTTTTCAGTTTAATTTTATTTTAGAGGACAGTATAAAGTGTCAAAGGAAAATGAAGAAGAAGATGAAAATGAAGATATAGCCTATAATATGAATTATACAAAAGATGAAAGAAAAGGCAAACAGAAAAGGAACAGAACATGACAAAAAGCGGTAAAAGATCATGAAGATGATGAATGAGAAGAAAAGATGAAAATAAGAACGAATGGGAATGTAAGGGATACATTTCAGAAGAAAACGAAAGAGGGTGAAGAAGGAGAAATTGGAAAGAAAGAATATATAGTTCAAGGTTCAAGGTTCAAGGTTCATTTTATTTCTTTCTTTCACAACATTTTTACATATAATAATAGAACAAAAAACAGCATAAGAAAAAAACAATTTAAGTGCAATTTTAAGTCGATATATAATCCAAATGAAAGAAAGTGGAGACCTTAGAAAAGCTGGGCTTGTAAGAGCAAGGTCGCCATATAAAATAATCCATCAATGTTTCACTTTTAACAAAATTTGTTTCAAAGTTATCAAAACTACACATGATTAAATATGGGGGAAATATTTACAAAAGGGATAGCTTGAAATTTGAAAAGGAGAGGATGAAAATATATACAAAGGAATCGAGAGGAAAAAAGCAAACTGGAACGAGAAAAACAACAAAACAGAGAAAAACAGAGAAAGAAGAAAGTTATATGTATATAGGGGAAAATGATTGAGTTTGGGCCCCCGCCGTTGCATTAAACTTACCATTGATGGTAACTTTGCCATCAATGGCAAATAACATGGTAACATGGCACAACAGCCAATCAAAACTTACTTTCCATGGTAGTTACCATTGACGGTAAAATTACCATTAATGTAAAGTTTTGTGCAACGGGTGGGGGGGGGGCAGCAGGTTAAAGATGAAAAGGTAGAAATCAAGTTCAACTTACTCTGACTGCCTTAATACCTCCTATGCCGCCACCTCCATAGTACGAAGCGTCCACTGTAGGCCACTTCTTAGAGTTGGGGGATGGGGGTGGGGAAGGAGGAGGGGGCTTCGGCTTCACCACAACCTGAAAAATGATAATCAATGGGCATTTGAGAAATACATAGTTGTATAGAAAAAAGATTAAACGGTTTAGAAGTGTATAAAATGATGGGTATTATGATTGGTTTGATTAGATTGATAAATTTTAACTCTGCCCCCCCCCCCCCCCGCCAATAAAAATAAAACAAACTTGTCAGTTGTATTAATAATATTGTATAACAACGCAAAAGTTAATGTCGTTGTCCTACTCTAAAAGGAGGTTAATTTAATAATTTCAACAATAAAAAATGAATGCAAACTGAAATTGTGTATGTGTACATATATTATTTATATGTATTTCTTGAATTTATTTGGGATTTGCTTGCCAGCCTAAAGGAAACCCAATAGTAACTAATTGGGTTGCAAGCAGCTTGAAGACGTGGAAATTAAAAAAAGAATTAGTATAGCTGGTACAAGGTTTATGCTTGTTCTTTCTTTTCATTTGAGATTGTAGGAGATAGCGCGAACGCAGATCTCCGCTACCATAAATTATACGCCCGAGTTCCCCACGTTTGGGGGAATCGCAAGATTCAGCAAGCCGGAGTGCAATGGCAAGCCTCGCCCTGGGGGTGCATCCTTCTTGATCAATGCGACCCCTGCGCCAGGTAAGTATGCTTGAGAGAGTAAAACTTAATCAATCTGTACAATTGTACTGTCATGAAAAATACAGTTACAATAACAGCAAACCTCATCATTAAAACATCATATAATATGGTTTATTAGCAATAAATCACTTTTAAATGACAGGACATGATTGCCAATAATATTATCTATATAATAATTAAGTCTTAAGCTACTTTTTAATTAAACAAGACTTAAAAAATGAAATTTATTGGAATTATGTACACCGCAGGCACTGGCGAAGAAACCCGAGTGTGTCTATTCATGAATATTCATGATTAGTCAATGACTAATCGTGACGTCATCAGACGTTGAGAGTTTTGCCTTTTGTATTGTGCGTGCGTGCATTCAACGAAATGACTTATGCGTGGAGTGCGAGCGGCGTTCCACTCTCGAGCAAGGGTACACTTTGTATTTGTGTATAGCACACACAGGTCTCGTTTTGCACGCTATGCATGGTTATAAACAGATGTATCTTTTCCTGGAACAAAGTGTTATATTATATATAATTTTATTATATTATATATATTGAAGAGTGAAGAACAATATACTCGCCAAGTAGCCCTTTCCATTGCGACACATGTATGAGAGTTCAGTTCTTTGCTCATATCTATACTATGTTCAGGTTAAATTATTACGGCCCATTATAAGGCATGATAAGCAGCACTATAATAATGTATAGCTATCACCAAAAGAGCTGCATAAAAAATACCTAATAAACTTGAAGATTGCACTGGTGGTGGTACTGACTCAGAGAAATGTATACCCGTCTACAGTGTGTCTGAAAACCCAGTGGTGATCGCTATTCTTTCTCATCACTCTTTAAAATAACCCCTTTTTCCTCCCCCCCCCCCCCCCCCCCCCCCCCTCTCCTCATTGTATTGAGTATATAATACCATACTTCCACAGAAACCATAACTGCTTTCACAAACATCTATGTATTTCAAAATCAAATGCCGATTCCTAGACATGCTCGGGTTACGTAGACCAAATAATAAGTAACTTGACAATCGCGATTTACCCAAGTTTAGTGGAAATAATAAATCATCTAAAATTGAGTATGTATTTTTATTACATTTAAACGTGACTGTGTGATTTAGCATAACATGAACCAAATTCCGTCTCCAGTGGATCTATTTTTCGACAAAGACTCAAAGTCTACTCAATCTTCTGACATTCGGACGATTTTTCCTTTACATCTCTTGCGGACCCTCTTAGCTAAACAAAAACTTTATATAATTATGAAGGTCCACAGTTTTGGAATTCTTTCAGTATACACAATATATTATTCTATTTTTTTATTTTTATAAACTAATATACACGCATTACTCGTAACAAGCTCCCGCTGCACTCTTCATAAGGTGGCGAGTTATGAAGAGTGCAGCGCGAGCTTGTTACGAGTAATGCGAGTATATTACGAATGTTTAGCAAGTTCACCTCGAGCTAAACCGAATCAACGAAAATTTTGAACATGTTTAAAATTTTCACTGATTCGTTGTGACTCGAGGTGAATTCGCTGTTACTCGAGGTGAACTCACTAATATACTCGCATTACTCGTAACAAGCTCGCGCTGCACTCTTCATAAAGTGGCTAGTTGCTACGAGTATATTACGAGTGGAGGCGAGTTCACCTCGAATTACAACGAATCGGGGAATTTTTTTGAACATGTTCACATTTCTGGAACTGATTGCGACTTCGAGGAGAGTCGTGGAATGTTTTAAAGAGTTACGCTAAGCCATACCGAATTGTTCGCGAGTTTAATATTGCAGTGCCTCTTTGAGGCAACTCACCACAACTCGTCATAACTCGCTAATACAACTCGGCTAAGTGGGAGCCCTGCTTTACTGTAATGTTCGCATATTTCAAAAGGTGACGTAGTACGTATAGTACGAGGCTATTTAGAGTGCATTTATTTCTTCTTCAAAAAGTAATGTGCTATGTCGTGTTCTGTTTTTCAATCGCTTTACTAAAAAGAACATACACCAAAGCTGGCGACAATGCTTTCCATGCATGTGCACCTCGACTCTGGAATGAGCTTACACGTTTTATTTGACTTTCACCTCCGCTGGATGTCTTCCGAAAATGTCTCAAAAATCTCCTTTTTGACATGATCAACAACTTCTTCGATAATATTTATGTAAAGCGCTGTGAAACAACAGTTAGTTTGTAAGAGCGCTATATAAATGACTTAATTGTATTGTATTGTATATACATACAATTAAAAAGTAAAGAAAAAATGAACAAACAAACAAACGAACAAACTAAATACAGCAAATGATGTTGGACCCTAACATCAGACCTAAGAAAGCGACTGGAAAATTATAAAGTTTGGTTCCTGCATGGGAAGGATGCTAAAAATTGTATGGACAGAAATAGAATATAATAATGAGGTATTTGCCATGGCAGGAACAAGACGAAAGCTTCTGAATGATATCAGAGGTCGACAACTGAACTTCTTGGGTCATGATATTCGAAAGAATGGGTTGGGAAATTTTGCACTGACTGGAAGAAAGGAGGGGGATCGAGAAGGAGTAGGGGTAGAAGGATGAGTCTGTGGATGAGTAGCTTAATTAAGGAGTGGGGTTTCTGAAAATGGAATCTAGGCCGTTTACGTAATGTAACCAAATTTAATGCATAGGTCTTTGTGAAGTGCCTCAATACAAATTATTTCATTCACCTGATAATAATAATAGTATTTCAATAGTCAGAGTGCAAACTTCATAATTAAGTGTTGCTAGGTAGGTCAAGCCATAATGTTTGTCCTACCTGGCAACAACTAATGTATGCAGTTCGAATTCTGTCTATTGAAATACTATTATTCTTATCAGGTGAATGAAATTTACATTTATATTTAGGCACTTAACAAAGGCGTATGCATTAAATTTGGTTATGATTAGGAAAATGGCCTATTGATCAAGGAGAGAATGAATTACTTCATAGAATATGAGACCGAGAGTTGTGGCATTCCATGGTCGCCAACGTCTCAGGACATCAGTGGCGGATCCAGGGGGTGGGGGCCCGGGGGGCCCGGCCCCCCCCCCCTTGAGAAAAAAATCATGCAAAATCACGCGATTTTTACCTTTTTGGGGGGTTGGGCCCCCCCCCCCCCTGGCGCTCAAGGGGGGGGGGGTGCAAATTTTAAAATTTTCGAGGATCAAAAAAAAAAAAAAGTTGGGCCCCCTCCCCTAAGAAATCCTGGATCCGCGCCTGCAGGACATGGCATGTAAAGAAGAAGAAGACGCTATGACTTACCACACAGCACAGGAGCTGCCAGAACCACCACAGGAGGAACAGACCAAGAGCGAGGAGCGCTAGGAATAAGCCCAGGACGATAGCAATTACATCAGGCTATTGATGCAACCAATAATCATCGTAGTAATCCAGAAGGGAAACGGAACAAAAGGGAGAGAAGTGGCATAAAACATAAACAATGTAATTGAATTGAAATTCCCATTTGAAGAGAGAGCTCGGTTCCAAAAAGTACTAAATCCATAAATCTAATCCAAGTTCTGAGAAAAACACGATGTTTTAATCATCATAGTTTAATAGCAATGTCAGTTTTGAATGGTACTTTTGCTGATTATACTATTGTATGATTCAAGTTAAGTATATAACCGCTCTTTAAAAAGATCTAAGTCTGCACAAATGATTTTCATGAATTTTTCAATTTTTGTGGATGAAGTACGTTTTGGAACCGAAAATCTTCCATACTGTATGCAAGTTACAATGCATGACTTGAATTAGCACCTTTTGGAACCGAACTGATTACTTTTTTTGGAAATTCAGCTTTGTGAAATGTGTACGTTAATGCTAACAAATCAATTTTGATAAAAATGGATGTAGTACCTTTTTGGAACCGAGCTCTTCATTTATTTCCTCCTCATTGAAAATATGATAAACAATAAACAAATAGACGATACAGTACAAGCGCGTAGCTAGGAATTTATTTTAGGGGGGGCGGTAGTAAGCCAAAGACGTTTAAATATAATTACGAAGCGCGCTCCCTAGGGGATGGGTGCAGGGAGGGGACAGGTTTGAAAGAAGACGATCCGTTGTACCTTTCTCGACTCATAATCCTTGTCTGAATTCAGTCCGCCCCTCCTGCGCATAGCGCGGAAGCTTTGACGTATTATTAGAAAAAGAAGACGATTCGTTGTACCTTTCCCGACTCTTAATCCTTTTCTGAATTCAGTCCTCTTTTCCGCGCGAAGCTCGGAAGCTTTGACATTTCATTAAATTATTAGAGAAAGAAGACGATTCGTCGTACCGTTCTCGACTCCTTTTCCCTTTTTCTTCTTTCGTCCTCTTACTTTTTTTTCTCTCTTTCTCTCTTTTTTGTTTGTTTGTTTGTTTGTTTTTTGGCCGGCGTTTTTTTTGGGCGACCGCCCCCACCGCCCCCCTGGCTACGCGCCTGGTACAGTAAATACATTCAAAAGCACAAAGAGCTAGGCGATAACCGGAAAGCAAATGCTTGTGTTGATGGGAATTCCCATTTACACATTTGGGCCCTGTCTTTTAATGAGTTGCGATTGATCCAAATCAATCACAAGTCCTCCAATAAATTGCAAGTTTGCTGTCCCCTATCTCAGTTGATCATGAATGTAGCAGTTGCCATTCATGTACATGTAAAAAAAACACCGCGGTGATTTACCGCGCTATAATGTGAACACACCTTAATATTGTTAAGGAAGTCTTTGCGGTCGCATTCAGATACAAATATATATTTTTTAAACTGACACTGGACAAAACGGCGGGAGAATAAAATAGACTTACCGGTGTGCAAGATGTACCAGTAATGGTTAAATTACTCGATATAAAAGTCTTCCCGTTCACAGACACTTGAAGCACCACAAAGCTACAACAAAATGATAATTATGAAAACAGATCTATTAAAAGTAGATCTTTAGATCTCTGATAATATTTTCAATTTTATTTGTGTTAAATGCACATAATATGGACAATTCTGTATAGCCAAGAAAATATATGCACAAGTTTTATAATTGATTGATTGATTGATTGTTTGATCGATTGATTGAATGGTGTATTACAAATACTGAAGATGGCAGCCCGTATAGACTGAATTATATTCAGTTTACACTAAAAACTAATACAGGTACATATCCATTTTGGAAAACATCGTTATATAAAGAGAAATCATCCTAATGCAAAACAATACGGTAATCAATTAAGGTAACTCAATAATCTTTAACTTGAATATCAGACCATTGCGTCTTTTAACATTTGACTATTATAAAAATATAATAAAAGAAGTTGCTCAAACATTCGAATTAAGCAAAATATAATTAAAAATAGAGTCATCAAAGGAATGTAAACGCATAAATTATTCATTACTTAAACATCATCATCATCATCATCATCACCGTCATCATCATCATTACTATCATCATCACCATAATCAACATCACCCTAAACATCCTCATCACCACCATAGTCACCATCATCATCACTATACTAATCTTCATAATCATTATCATCACCGACATCATCAACATCATTATCGGCATCATGATCATTATCATCACGGACATCATCATCAACATCATTATCGGCATCATGATCATTATCATCACGGACATCATCATCAACATCATCATCGTCATCATGATCATTATCATCACGGACATCATCATCAACATCATTATCGGCATCATGATCATTATCATCACGGACATCATCATCAACATCATTATCGGCATCATGATCATTATCATCACGGACATCATCATCAACATCATTATCGTCATCATGACCATCATCATCACTTCCATTACTTACTCTCCATCTTGTTCTATTTGTGGAGCTGCGCATACCAATTCACTGTCGGTCACTAAATACGGTCGAACCTCTACAACAAGAACAAAGATATGAAACAAAAGATAATATCTTAAAGATCCAGAAAGCATATTCATCATAATTTACTTAAAATTTCAAATGCACCTCATTATCATTCATAATTAAATGAAATACATGTAGCTGTTAACCCTACAGTGTTCGTCTACATTTGCACAGAAACTTCACTGAGAGTGACGTGCATCTTTTGATCCCAAATTTTAAAATTTGAATCTTCAGTTGTCCCGAAGAGATAAAAACAGCTAATAATTGATAATCAATAATTAATCGGCAAACATGATATGAATAATTAATTAGCGATAATTCAAAATCTGTTTGAGATTTGCATATGAAACTCCAAGGGTCTATTCATTTGTAGATGCTCTATCTTTTCTTCTTCTCCCTTTTTTTTTTGCACAAGTGCGCTTTGGGCATTTAAGTGCAAGCGGAATTGGCGCCTTAAAAATCTCATATATTATTATCATTATTCATTCTTATTATTATTATTATTATCATTATTATTATTATTATTATTATTATTATTATTATTATTATTATTATTATTATTATTATTATTATTATTATTATTATTATTATTATTTTTTATTATTATTATTATTATCATTATCATCCTCATCATCCTCGTCATCATCATCACCATCATTATTATCATCATCACCATCATCATCATCATCATCATCATCATAATCATCATTATTAAAAGTATTATCATTATTATTATTATTATTATTATTATTATTATTATTATTATTATTATTATTATTATTATTATTATCATAAGTTTTAATGTTGTCATAAGTATTATTATTATATGTCAAGCTTCAAAATGTGTCGTCATTCCACGACCTATATTCTAATGAGGGCAGAATTTCTGGCTAAAAGACAACTAAAAAGCCAGCCTTCATTGAAAAAAAAAGAAATCAATGACATATTCTCACCTTGATTATCCGTATCATTCAGCCGAAAATTGCAGAGTACTTGGGAGACATCGTTTGTTTTAGCAAACCCATTCCCTCTTATCGTAACATTGAAGGTTTCTGCGTAGAAAAAAACCCAAATAATGATAATAAATGAACAAATACATAAACAAATACAAGTCTAAATAAATGATTAAATACATGAATGAATCAATCAATCATCAATAAATCAATAAATTAACACAAATAAGAAAACTTAGATGAACAAATGAATAAGACATAACTACATAAATAAATAACTAAGCAAACACATTTCATGACGACAGTGCATCTTATTAACCGGTGAAATTACAGGGGAGGGGGGGGGGGGGGGGGGGGGGGTAAGAGCACTTTTAACTCTTTATTCGGGGTCCAATTTTGGAGGGAATATTAAGCGGCGTCTCAGCCAGCCGGTAAATAAGCGGGGGCCGGGGGGGGGGGGGGGTAAGAGCACTCTGTTTTATGCCCAAATTCGTGAGATTTTTTTAAAATACTAGTTTGGGGGGGGGGGTCAGGGGGCGGCCAGGCCCGTCGGCCCCCCCCCCCCTCCCGTGGATCCGCGCCTCGATGATGATGTAGTACACCTTAATAATAACCCTTCAGATTTTCGCCCCCAAAAAGACACCTGAAAATATGACCACCTTTCTTGTTTCGTGCTTGTAACAATTTTTTGAGCTTAAAAAAAGTTTAGATGTAACAAAAATTTCTTCTCCTTTGCCTGTTAGAGATGTGTAGGAATTTGTGACCTCCTACTTTAACAAAAAAAAAATCGAATCAGGGATACGCCCCCTGCTTCAAAACATTTCAAAAATTTGAAGAAAAAAAAGGGGAAGTGCAAAATTTAACTGTTGATGAAACCATGACTATAGTACAAACGTAAATACGAGTATCAGTGCTAGTATCAGTGCTAGTATCAGTGCTAGTATCAGTGCTAGTATCAGTGCTAGTATCATTACTAGTATCATGGCCAGTATCAGTACTAGTATCAGTGCTAGTTTCATGGCCAGTATCAGTACTAGTATCAGTTCGATGTTCAAAGTGATGTAATAGTTGATTGCCCTCTGAAAGTACAGGTAGAACCATGGACCTATTACGGATGGACATTCAACGTGATTCTGTCTTTGATCCAATGATAGTCGCCGCCTTCTGATTATGTGCATCTTAATGAGAACATTCAGCTGTTTTAACAATAACGACTGTGTAAGCATTTTCGGTCATTGACAAAGGAGCAGTTTCCCTCTCTTGGGTTTTGTTTGGATGGTGTGCTCTGTAAGACGGATACAATCACAATGAATTCGTTAAGAAAACGATGAATGTCCATCCGTAATAGGTCCATGGTAGAACAAACTGAAAGGGGTTCATTCATTATTTCAAAACACATCTTACCTCCCGTACAAACTTCGGTTGGATGTGCAGACAAGATTTCGACACATGATGTATTCACAATCTATTGATAAATATTAAAAAAAAACATTATTATCATACTTATGTTTTAATGACATAACTAATTGCCACAGCCGACGTATACATACAAAATCCTGACAACTATTCATCTGTGACGAGATAGTTATCAAAATTCTTTGGAACAGTACACTGAGATAGATATAATGTTAAGTGTATATCTCAAATCATGCAATTGTGAGGTGATTTTAGCACTTTCACTTTAGTAGCGCTGTGCGTCATGTATTAAAATGTGCCTTCCGATCGTGATTTCTACAGGCATGAATACAATCTAACGCAATAAAATTAGCATAAAGTAGATTTTTCGAAAGTCCTTGCAATCGTTTTATCTATGTAAGCTGTTGATTTGTGTTTAATCTGACCAAATTGAATGTTGATTTGAATTTGAAATGAGCTGGGAAGAATTTAAATTAAGAAAAAAAAAAAAAAAAAATAATAATCTGACCTGGTCAATAATACTGTCGAGATCGTTGAATGTGTCGCCTCGGAAGATGTGTTGCGATGTAGGTTTATCGGCGACGTTGATCAAGTCTATGGTATTGCTATCTCCAACACGCACAGCAAGTACAGACGCCCCCAAATTTCGAACGATATTTGCCTGCAAACAAGACAAAATGATATATGCCTAATAAAGGATTTTTCGAGGGGGGGGGGGGGGGAGGAGCATTACGATCCAACTAGAACAAATATCATCCAACTAATAGTAGCGCTAGTACAAGCGCTCTTACCCTACCCCCCCCCCCCAGATTTGGTTTGGACGGGGTGTGCCATTTTAAACAATTTTAGGATGTTTGCCATGCAAAAACACGAACATTTTTGAAATTTTGAAAAAACGGACCCATGTTTAAGAATATTTTTGTTGAAAATTCAAGGATTCAAGTAAGAGTTTATTCACGACTTGTCAAAAAGTCCAAAGACTAAAAATGCAAGTTTACATCAAACATACAATCATATAAAAACAACATTAAAAAAATATATATTTATTTATTTAAAGAAAACATAGCACATGGGAGAAGAAAAAAATATATATAAAATTGAATAAATGTTTACATCAAAACATCAACAACAACAATAACAAAAAACAAAAACATTACACGATATCAAATATTGCTAGCAAAATTGTGTAGATGTTTAAATCAATGGGACCCATGATTAGGGATTGTATAACCCTAACCCTAACCCTACCTAACCCATAACCCTAGCCTAAGTATACCTCTGCAACAGATTCAGGAACGTCACTGAGTTTTCCATCGGTCAATGTTATGATCACACTAGCTGTATCACCACCTGCAAAGAAAGAGGAAGAAGGAGAAGAAGGATGTTAGTAAACAACCAATAAAGAAGGAGAAGACGGGAAGGAGGAGGAAGAGGGGGGAAGGGGGGGGGGGGGAACAAGAGGAGAAGAACAAAAAGTGAAGATGAGGAGAATGTAAGGGAAGAAATGGTAATAATGATAATAATAAAGATAATAATAATAATAATAATAATAATCATATTAGCAATAATAATAATAATGATAATAATAATGATAATAATAATAATAATGATAATAATAATGATAATAATAATAATAATGATAATAATAATGATAATGATAATAATTAAAACAAGAAAAAGGAGGAACTGAAATAAAGAGGAAGCCGAGGAAGGACGAAGAGGAGAAAGAAAAATAATGTTTAGGAGAAGAAAAGGAAAAAGAAGGAGGAGGAGGGGGGAAAATAGAGAAGGGGGAAAACATAAAAGAAGGGGAAAAAAAGGAAAAATAATGATAAGAAGGCTTAAAATGGGAAGAAATTACTTTGAAAATGTTCAATCAAAAAGTGCTTGACAAATGAAAACAAAAAATACCATACACGATGCTGATATAAAGTAGTCGTTATAATTAGTTATATATTCATTGTAATATTGTGAAGCCTTTCTTGTAATGTTTTTTTATTCACAATATCCGTTTTGTAACTATCTTTAGAAGACTTAGTGATCACAAACAAAAATTATGATTTTTGAGGGCGGGGGCCGTTTGTTTGAAATTGAGATGGATGAGCATATGGAGCATGCTTTGTTCCATCATCGAGTTGTACATCTATATAACCCTCATTTCTGTTACGTAACATACGAACACGCGACCAGTAACAAAGTTAGGGAGTAAGCTACATTTTGTTTCCTGCTCCGTTTGTCTATGTTCTTTTTCCCACCATATTCAAAAGACTGTAAATTACAACTTTCCTTGTTGTTTGTTGTTCACTCTTTTCCCCTCCGTGTTTTTTCTAAAATCTCTTTCCATCGCCTTTTTTCTGCTTCATACTTTCCATTCACTTTTGTTTTTGTTTAAGTGTCTTGTAATTCATATAAGATTGTGTCACACGCTGATATTTTCTGGTAGTTTCGTCGTCCTTACAACATAAACACGTATCAAACACCTTCAAACTCTTTACCTAATTCAGTGGAAAAAACATTCGCTTTCACTGTTCTAATAATTCCTCTTTTAATTAGAGAAAGAGGGAGATAGAAAGAGAGAGAGATGGAGAGGGTGTGGGAGGGAGAGAGAGAGAGAGGGTGGAGTATGGGGAGAGAGAAAGAGAGGGGGTGTGGGAGGGTGGAGATGGGGAGAACTGGGGGAAATACTGGTGATGAGGGAAGAGGAGGAAATATTAGAGGGGAAAAGGGAAAGATAAAAGATGAACGAAGAGAGAGAGATGGAGATGGAGAGAGATAGAGAGAGAGAGACAGACAGAGAGAGAGAGAGAGATACAGAGAGAGAGAGAGAGGGAAAGAGAAGGGGTGGGGGAGGGGGGAGATGTGAAAATACTAGTGATGAGGGAAGAGAAGGATATATTAGAGGGGGAGAGGGATAGAGAAAAGATGAATAAAGAGAGAGAGAGAGAGAGAGAGAAAGAAAGATGGATAGAGGAAGGAGAAAAATATCAAAGAGAGAGAGAGAGGGGGGAGGGGGTGAGGGTAGAGATGGGGGAAAATACTAGTGATGAGGAAAGAAAGGGAAATATTAGAGGGGAGAGGGATAGAGAAAAGATGAACGAAGAGAGAGAGAGACAGATGGATAGAGAGAGAGGAAAAGACTAGAGAGAGAGAGAGAGAGAGAGAGAGAGGGGAGAGAGAATGAGAGGGGGAGAGAAGGGGGAGAGGGGAGATAGTACTGATGATGTGGAGAGGGAAATATAAGAGGGGGAAAGAGGGAAAGATCGAGAAAAGATGGACAAAGAGACATGGGCAGAGAAGAGAAAAAGATTAGAGAGAAAAAGATAGTAGGGTAGAGAGGGGAGAGAGAGACAGGCAGAGAGAGAGAGAGAGAGAGAGAGAGGGAATAGAGAAGAGAGAGAAAGAGAGAAGAGAGAGAGAGAGAGAGAGAGAAATAGAGAAAGAGAGAAAGAGAGCGGATTTTATTTTTTTCTTCAATTTTGGGGATTTTCTTTGCACATCATTAAAAAAAAAAAACAGGCATATCCATTAATCACTGAAATCACTAAAATAATAGAATCCTTTTTCCTTTTGTAAAGACAACATAAAAGAAATGAACAATTGAAAGTTTAATAGCAATCAACCACTAATTTCATTGCTGGTACGTGTGCAAAGCATATACGTATGTGTGCATGAGGAGGAAACATGCAGGACGAGATTTCTACAGTAGACAACTGATCTACTATGAAATCTGGATCACCCATGTTACGTACACACGTTAAATTTTATTGGCCTGGGTACAGGCAGGGTTACCTCTTTTTCATTTCCCGATATAAGCCCTTACATGATTGTATAGCAGGCCTATTGTTCTCGATATCGAACTGTTCCTAATATCATATAACAGTTCGGATGATACATTTCTGTGAAGCTAACGCTTTTCTACGTAAGCCTCGATCGTCTCACTTTCACAAAGGATGTCCAGTTTGACCACCCAAAGACAGCATCGCTAGATATGTCTACAGCATCGCTAGATATGTCCCCATCAGCTCGAGATTGCCAAATAGCCTGCTATTTCTGATTTGAGAAATAATCCCGAAGTTTAATACAAATCGCGTCTTCATCAGCTCGAGACTCGACCTCGAAACTTGAACTCGAGCTCGAGAAATTAGCTCGAGATACTTTGCTCAACGTTCGCGCATAGTGCGAGTCTTCGGCCTGGTCAAGACGCACCAGACAAATAGCGAGATATTTTGCAAACTAGCCCAATATATCATGGGATGATTATCTCGACTAGATATCCCGATAATTGCAACTTCGTGCTGACGAAGACGGAAATTAACTGGATAATTTGCGATCGGGATAGTTAAAATATCGAGATATTTGGTAATCTCGAGCTGATGAAAACAGGCCTACTGGTTCTCTAACTGATGTCATCTAGCCCCTTTGATCTTGTACTATGATGGAGGTGGGAGAGGGGGGGGGGTGGATGGGACTTAAGTAAAAAGCTAGACGTTATAATCACACTAGCTGTATCACCACCTGCAAATAAAGAGGAAGAAGGAGAAGAAAGATATTAGTAGCTATAGACGCACCAATCGCGTTCCCCGGTCGCGCGTTTCCGTTTTACACCCTGCCCTAGGCTTTTCGGCAAGAAATTACACGAAACATGCTGTATCCGAAGTCTAAGTTTGTTTATATCGACGTCAAGAATAGCGAAGCCAAAGCTTATGTACAATTTCAATTGGGGATGCGAGGGTCTTCTTGTTCAAGACGGTTTTCCCGATATATTATTGTTTTGTTATCGCTGGGCTAAATTTTGCGAGCTGATCACGCATCCTCACGCTCTTAGAGTATTGCGTATTAATGGATAAAAATAAATGATACGACTAGGAAGATCAACTAGTTAGTATAGAGAGTTAGCTAGCGCTACGTGACGTTTTCAGAGTTCTGGTGGTGTCATAGAGATATATACTTAATTCTCTATGGGTGGTGTGCAGAGCGCCGAGGCAAGATGTGGACGACTAGACTCCGAATACCAGTCGGTTTGTAAAATTTTATTGGAGAAAAGCCTAGGGCAGGGTGTAAAACGGAAACGCGCTCCCCGGTCAAACGACCCTTGCCTGGCAAACGCCCCTCGCCGTCACCCATAAAAGGCGCCAACCTAACTCAGAAACTCTCACTTCAGCGGAGGCCACTTTCAGGACGATATAGTACGTAAGCGCTTGGGACTATACCTGTTCGATTTTTTTTTTAGCCGATTTCTTTAGGTTTTATGTTTATTACTTGGATTTTAGACTGCAATTTCTCATGGTCTAGCATTGTCGCCATGTAGGACACTCATTTTCTCCGGGCAGCGTTATTTTTTTATGCGGCACAGATTGGGGCTTTTTTTAAAAAGGGGTCTTGATTTACAGACTAATACTGGTCGTGTGCGTACTAGACAGTATAAGTAGTAGAGGTCAGTTTTTAATAGTGTTATATTTAATCCACTACCGCATGGAAAATCATTACATCAACAATTAAAATCAAATTGGAAATCTGAAGAGGAGGCAGCACGTCAATAAGGAGAACATCACAATAATTAGTCAATAAAACTTAACTAATTTAAACGAAGAGGAATGTTATCTAAACACATAGTTCGCGATAGATATACAAACTTCTTCGCAGCGCTAATGCGCTAGCTATAAACATGACTAGTCTCACGTACGTGCAGACACTATTCAGAAGGGAAAGAACGTACTTCCCATAGGTTTAACACGCGCCATGCCCCAATCTGTGCCGCATAAAAAAATAACGCCTCCGGGCATTAGCGTTTCATTATTTTCGTCAAACGTATCACGGTGTCTTTAAATACTTATTTTAATCTATCATTGTTTATAAACAAGTGTGTGCATGCTTAATGAATTGAATTTCCCCACTTCACAATTAAGCTACCTTTAAGCATGTGTTTTTTTTCTTCTTCAAATTTTGTGATAGAATTATCCATTTTGTCCTTACAGAAGTTGACACTATTGGAGTCATCTTTACAAAGTACACAACATCAGCCTAGCGGAGAAGAGTGATTTCGACCTTCCATTTAGAATTTCGGAAATCTGCGACGTTTTTCGGGGTCGTGGACATAATTATTGGATTCGATCGGTTTGCTGAACTTCTTTCTCCTATGAACGAACCTTAAACAGGTATGTTACTTCAACCTTTAATTTTTTAGCTATATGCATGTTAAACCTGGCTTTACCAGTTTCAGGGGCGTCAAAAACTAAATATATTCATACCTTTTTAAAAATCTCCACACATCCGAAACAGTAATATAATTTGTCATAATAGTTTTTATATTTTATCATCCCTGTATATATGTCTTTAAATAAAATCATCATTATCATCATCATCAACAACAATAACATCATCTTTACCCTTATATTGAACATGCTTTCAAGTATGTGTCCATTCTGCTTAAACAATTTGTTCATTTATTTCATATTTGTTTTGGGGTGTTATAGTTTTAGTATTTTGATGGCAATCCTTCTTCCACAAATAATTATCATTTACATTTCTTCTTTAAGAATCATTGTTATAAAGTACCTTTTAGTAATTTATGTTTGTTTTGTAACCGAAAATTGTTTATATTGATATGGAATGCAGAAGAAAATAAATCAAATTAAATCAAATTTGACAATCATAAACATAATTCTTGGTGGAGCAAGGTGTTTTGAAAATACCTAGGATGGTTGTCACATAGTTGTGACACCGGCACAGCATAAGAGTTATTTATTTTGACTGACATTTTTTTTTTAAATGAGCTTTATTCACCATGAACTTTATACGCAACCTTATAACCGATTTGTATATTCGAAAGGATATTTAAATTCGGAATATAAAATCGATCGGAGTTCAAGTTTGTGACTGAGCTTCATGATCGGTAGATATACGCGCCCCCCCCCCCCGAAACTGCCCTTAAATTCATTTTTTCCGATATCATGCTGCAAACTTACCGTCTCTACAGACGAAATCAATGACTAGCATTTACTTGAAATAATTTATCAATTAAAAACATAAAACCGGAGTTCAATTTTGTGACAATTTTTGATAGATACGTGCCCTAAAACTACCCTTCTTTTCTTTTCTTTCAATTTTATGCAAGCTGACTTTACTGATTATTCCGTAAAGCTTATATTCCCATTCATTAGGGCATTACATAAAACTGGCTTTCAATTTTATGACTGGGCTTCAATACCGGCAGATACGTGCTTCCCAACCCACTTTTTTTCATTCTTAACATTTCACGTAATTGCCATCAACATCAGTGAGGACACATTGTGACCGAGCCGAACATTTGGGAGAAAGGGTCTTTAAAAAAAACAAAATAATAACGTGTTAACAATGTTCTCCCTATTATTTCACAGAAATCAGCATTTTGAACATCAATTACATCACGTGATCCTCTCATCAACTAATCCGTCGTCCAATATGGCGTTTGATCGAGAAGAAAGTTTTGACCTTGCGGAAGAGGTCCTGCTTGCGTTGAATCAGGAGTTCGATGACGTCACACACAACCGATACATCGGCTTCCATACTGCTTCTTCTGGTGGCAGCGAAGTGAACTTCGACGCATCTTCCATCAGCGGGACTTCGGTTGTCGACCACGTCTCCGACAGGGAGATTGATAGCGGTAGTGTCGATGATATGATAACGTCAGCATTCCCACAGCCCATGTGGACCTCTGACCTTCAGACACCTCATCCTATAAATCATCAGTACAAATCGCTTGGAGAAAACTCTCAATGGCCAACTCCACATCGATATCACCTGCGAGATCAAAGACAGTACTTTCAACAGCAGCAGCAACAGCAGTTCAATCAAAACAAAAGACCGCATGAACATGACATCCAGCCTAAAGTCAAACAAGAAAACACACAATCATGTTCAAGCGCACCAGAAAGAACAGCAACGGCTCTGTGTGCTAAATCCACCAGAACTGTCGGCAAAGTGGGTCGAAAACCGCCCAAAGGTCCCGATGGCAATACCATGTACAGCAAGCGACGCGCGACCGAAGTCAAACGCGAGAGCGTCAACATGCGAGAGCGCGACCGCATGCATCAACTAAGAGATGCGTTCGAACTTCTTCGTCGGGTGCTTCCCCGTGATGCCCTAGACGTTAACTCCCCACGGGCCGGTGGTCGACGACTGCAACGATACCCTGTTCGACAGAAATGTAGTAAGGTGGATACGCTCCTGCTGGCTCAGGACTACATTCTGACTCTCCAAGAAAAGTGCAAGGACTCTCCCGAAGCTCTCGCTGAAGCACCGTCATCATCAACATCTGCATGGTAGCTCGTGGAATTATTTATCATAAGCAATCCTTTTAAGACAGGGGGTTCTACTGACACTACTTCGGATTTATGTATACTGCCATCTGGTGCTCGCAACGGTCCAGATGTGTGCACATCCATGTTCCACAATGCATCAACAACCGATGACGCGCTGCCTGATGTTTGGGTACAGGAACCGCAAATCGCACCATGTACGCCTTAAAGGGACCCGGTAACTTTGTCTTAGATCCTTTAGAAATAATCCTTGATTTAGCCCATGCTGCAATAATAATTATAAACCTTTAGGTCAGTCAGGAACTCCATGACTTTTACAAACCGATCGCCTGTCTGATTATCAAGATATTAATGATTGGAATTACAAATTTTGAGAACCGTTCGCTGAACGGTTTTCATAACACTACAGTCTATTTGGGAAAACGAGTTATGGTAAAACCGGTCACTCAAAGATTTTTACTTTTTTGAGGCACTTCTTGGTCATTTTGAAGCGCGATTTTTTTTTTAGGGCTTCAATATTACACCATATCACAGACACTGGTAACATGTAGGACCGTGTATATCAGATTTAACATTGTTAAACGATCCCTTTCACCGAAAGATGGTGCGATTAAAAATATGTTACAGCAGTGGCAGCGATCGTAAAACAGCCTGCCTCTAAGTTGTTAAGCCCCACTGCACTACTTATAGCTACTTGCGCCCTCTATATAGCAAACAACGCCTAATCGGCGCCTGTTGGTCCCCATGATTTTCATATGTTAATTAAGAACAGATTTGATGAGATAACCACCTGTCAGTGACCTTGCAGGGAGGTCTAATCCTCTTGGCCAAACTAGTGCAGACGGGCTTTAAAAACATTAATGAAGAATCGTTTCAAATACTTCTTCATTCCATTGACATAGAAATCAAAATGCGTTTTACAACTCTCATGCCCGTTTCCTATGAGGCGTCATAAAGTGCGCTATTAATTAGGCCAACAACAAAAAATGTTGTTTTGCCTTTTAGGTGCCAGCACCTGGGTCGGTTGGGTATTTTTTCTTCTTTTCTTTCCTCTTTGGGCTGATATTTTTTCGGTTTTGAATGCTCTAATACATTTTTGTTTTTAATTCATTTATTCAAAAATATTAAAAAAAGAAAGATAAAAAGCCGACCGTAGGTTTTAAGGTTTTTGGGTCGATGGCAAAGGAAAATACAACAACTTAAACAAAAAAGCCGTATAGGCCTCGCCTTGTCATGTGTATAAAGGCAATCAGCACATACGCTGGTACTCCATGTTTTACTTGTTTATTTTGCTTTCATATTTCGTACGTCACTGTTACATGCATGGCAAGTAACAAAAAAAAAACACAAAACACAACGACAGCAATATGAAACCTCGTGTGCAATCGGAGTTAAAACAGACTTTTGAAACCCCGAAAATAATGTTATGACTAATCGGTTTAAAAGCCTTTCTTTTCAATCTCTAAGCGTTTTGAAGCAAATCGAGCGCTTCAAAAAAAAAATTGTTTTGCTCTACAGCTCGACACACATTTATTTTACGATAATTTGAATGATCATTTTTGACATCCTAACTTAATGTATTTTGTATACGTATTTGTACGATGTAACTTATTGTATTTTATCATGACAAAGCTTTTGATTATTTCCCGATTTCACAATCGTTCTACTTTTTCGTTTCATAAAATGAATGTGAATTGTAAATTGTTTAGTTTGTTGGTAGCTGTTTATTTGATTGATTGATTGAGTGACTGATTGATTGATTGATTGATTGATCAGATGTGATCAAGATCGTTATGAGTTTTGTTTTCACGAATTTATTTATGTAATGTATTGAATGACGGATGGGAGAAGCATAGATTTCATGATTTGCGAATTGGACAACTTTTCTATTCGTTTCACAATACACTTATTTATGCTGGAAATTCAACAACTTTTCTATTCTTTTCACAATACACTGTATTTTTTATGCTGGATGCGATTTATCAATTCAACGTGTTTGCATCTTTTCCTCGTTGAATCACGGTATTGAAATGCACGAAAGCATTAATGACCTCAGTTTGCCAACTGCTTCATGAGAAGAAAATTGCTTTGAATAGAAAGAGTTACATGTACAAGATGGTACCGATCCGCATCTTGTAACCATGGTAACGTACCTGATGACATGATTTGTGTCTTGGCCTTCTCAATGCCATAATGTAGATGTGTATTTCCATCCGGCACCACAGCACGAAGGCGTTGAATCCCCTTGGTGAGAGCAGCACTGGGTAATAAATATATAACAAAGAAAGAGAACAAATAACACATGATCATGATGATAAAGCAATAATCAGTGCGAGAGAAGAGACAGAAAGGGGTAGGGAGAAATAGGGGAGGCAGAGAAAGGGAGGAGTGAGAGAGCGAAAGGGAGGAAAATGCAAATATTAATATGTTGGATTGTGTAAAAAATATATTTGAATTAAGCACATAATAAAACTTTTAAAGAAAACTGCACGTAGATGGCGTCAATTATAAAACTTTAAAACACCTTGGTCATAAATAATGTCTCCCAAATCACTGAAAGAGTGACAGAAAGAGAGAGAGAGAGAGGGGGAGAGAGAGCGAGAGAGGGAGAGAGAGAGAGAAAGTGATTTTACTTCGATGGGGATATTTCTAACAATTTATGTGGGAGTTATAGCACCCTCTACCAGGCCTTTCTCCCGACCTAAGACCTTCACTGACTTGTCACTTGTCAGTATGATTGTACGAGGTTTTACTAACCTGTCACTTGTAAGCCTTGTGACGACTTCAGCAAACGTTGAAAAAGTGATGAAAGAAGCACGTACTTTGGAGCTGCAATGGAAAGAAATAGATAACAACATTATTGCACAATCGGATAATACATAATGCCACAGAAGATTTTTTTTTCTGTGGGGACCGGGGGAAATTCAATGAATTATTGAAAATGTATTGCATTTTCTTTTTTTTATTTTATTTGTGGGAACTGCCCCCTACCCAAGCCCCTGCTGCGTACAGTCACGGTTCAGTGGCCAAGCAATGGCCTCGTAACTGTGAGGCCCCATGATCAAAACCGTGTCGATGTGCTATATTAGTGCCCTTTTGTGGGGCATTAATCCTCATTACTGTTATTTATGACTTAAGGGCGTAGGTCCCCTATCTGATAAGCATAGTAGCATACACATGCTTTGGAAGTCACGCAAAACAAACACTGGCAAATTATTATTCAATAAAATCTGAGAATATATACTATTATCTAGATCTATTAGGATTAAGTCATTGTCAAAATAATTCCATAAATTGGGGTAAAACAAAATATTCCAACTATATGAGCGACAATGTATCTAGGAGATTTCATGTTCTTGATGTGGAATTTATGAAAAGTCTAAAATACTTGAATGTCTGCTTTTGAATATATTCCAATCCAAGGCTACAAATGGCTCTCCATATTTTAAAAGTCCAACTGAGAGTTAAAGATAAACTTTAGTACCGGTAATGCGATTGCATTGTGAAAGAAAAGGTGTGGAAAGGATCAGAAACAGTTGATCATGTAGCATGTAAGTACCGGTGTGCACTGCAAGGTTCTGGAGTCATCAAAATCATAATAAATTTGACCGAATCTTGGTAAAGTAACAAGCACTCACATAGAAAGCTATATATGGGACAACACACATGGTGTCGGGGCTGGTACTACCTTGATTTCCTTGTCTTTCTATGCTCATTACTCAGCCAGTATACATTTTCTTCCAAAATTGTTTGGCACATGTCATTTATTTGTAATCTTGAACATTCAGTTTAAGTTTCGTTTGATTCTGTGAGAATTTTTTTAATTTTTTTTTTTACCAGTACTGGAGTTTATCTTTAAGTTCTACTTGGGATCTTTGTGAAACACCCCCCCCCCCCCCCCCCCAGGTTCAAATTAATTTTGACATCATTACCTCGTGAATCTGCTGAGTAGCAATGCAGTAAAGTTGACAGTCTGCTGCTGGAAGTGGATATGTGAGACACTTCCTGATCTGAGATAAAAGCAATGAAGAACACAAACAGTTTATTAGAAATTATAATAATTGCTAATATAACACTTTATCAGAAGTCTCTAAGCGCTCGACTATAGCGATGCAGCATAATTACCCTGGCTTTAGCAGAGCAGCTGTCACGCGATCTGCGTTTCAAGGAATAAATTCCTACCAGTCCCCATTTAATTCACCTGGCAGGAGTGTGGCAAATGCAGATCAATGTCTCGCCAAAGGACATTAGTGCCGAGGCGTGACTCGAACCGCGGACCTTATGATCGACAGTCCGGCCACGTACCCACTCGACCACGACACCTCTACTAGAAAACACTTTGGAGAAAAAAAGTGACGATGTTTGTTTGTCTGCTAATGTTCTACATTTCTTCTAACCATTCCTTCGTTTTCTTTCCCCCTTTCTTTCCTTAATTCCTTCTTTCTCCCTTCTTCTATTCTTCATTCTTTCCTGTCTGTAGATTATTTATTTACTGGGTGTACTCAGAACAACATTCCTCCACTTTACTTCATACGACGAACTATAAAAGCATAAACGAACTCATTATGTTGTAATTGACTGGTATGCTTTACTAGATTATATCATTTAGACCAAGCTATGTGTCTTCTTTCAGTTTATTATAAAAGAGTGCATTAGAAAGGAATTTTATTATGCATGTGAAGAAAAAATTGTGGAATAAAAAAAAAATGAACTTGAAAATGAAAAATAAAACACTTGAATAAACTGAAAGTATCAAGAATTTCACCTGAGATGGCGTAGCATCTATCTTTCTATCTATCGGGCCATAGTTCATCCAGACGTTGGACAAAGCCCTCCTCATAACATTTCCATTCTCTTCTGGCGCAGCATGCATTCACTTAAACAATGAGGCACAATAACATCGGAACGGATGGGGTGGATTTTGAAGGAAAGGCGAATTAAGAATGTCACTGATTGATAGGAAGGGTTGCGGAAGGGGGGGGGTCTTTTCATCTGTTTTTTCCCGTCCCTCCCCCTCTCATTCTTTCTCTTTTCCCATTCCTTTGCGCCATTTGAAAGGGGGCACTGGTCCCCCGTAACTATGCCGTTATACTGAAGAGTTAATAGCAAAAAGAAAAAGGAAAGTGAAATATAGCCAAAGGGGGTACAAGAAGGGGGCTCGACAAAAATAGGGGGCGATTTTGAATATCCTTTAAATACATTTAATCCTTCATCAGACAAACTTCATCACTCGAAAGATCACGATGACGTCAAAATTTAATCCAAGGATATTTTTAGGATCGGCGTACATCGCCAATCGCTAAATCAGCAACCGTAGAAACCCCCGTTTCCCGATGTGATTCATACGGCCAACTTCGCGAAAGCATTACACACAAGCCAGACACAGTCGTAATGGGATGATGACAGTTCGTTTAAGAGGTAATCCCGTTGAATTAAGCGACGAAATATTGATGATATTTAGATGTGTGACTATGAATCACACATCTTCAAAAACTGCAGTACTACTTTGAGACGTTTGTATTTCTGGTTGCGAATTTTAGACGTAGGGATTATTTAAGACACAAAGGGGCCTGGCGGGTTAAGAGATTTTCATTTTCGCAACAGATTAGTTTTTAGTTCGTTTAAAATGTCCGATTAAAAGCATCAGGATACTGCAAATTCAGAGATGAAATACCTGTTCAATTTTCGTGGAAAGATATCAACAACAAAAAAAAAATAGTGTGTAGGTTTACCACTGTTTGTAAAAAGAGACACTTTCGCGATCATGCATGGCAATGTTCACAAATTTCAAGAGTGGTTTGCGAAAATCGATATGCGGCGAAATAAATGTCACCTGACTAAAAACTAAATTATTGCGAAAAGTTTGCGAAAACTTCTTGCCTTGAAATTCTCTATTTTACGAAACGCGAAAGTTCCATGTCCTGCATGGGTTTTTAAACAATTCTTTGATGACCTTCCCCCCAAAATGCCCCTTAAAAATGATAACATTTTTTTGGCGTGCTTGTCAGAGATTCTTTAAAAATGTGCCTCCCCCCCCCCCCCCCCCCCCCCCCCCCCCCCCCCTCGCGTCACGGACTCGTGTATCCGCCATTGCTACCACTTTGTATTTTTTTCAACTTTCGGGTTTACCTCACAGCGGGTTTCCGGTCCAGGGTCCAACTCGTGAGAGAGGTCATTAGGGTCACGTGATTAAGGTCATTGTAGCCTCCATGCTTTAGAGTCAAGAAATGAGATCATCGCACAGAATAGATTTCGGGTGTTTCCTCGTTGTTATTTTTTCCATTTCCATTTTTATTTATTTAAAAAAAAAAAACATACCGCTGACTGATTTCAGCTTAAATTGGTCAAATGGTATTTCAAAATCTTCGGATGTCCCCAAAAGATTCTCGCACGGGATCAGTTTTGTTATTCAAGGCATCGTTTAACAATGTTAAATCTGAGATACACGGCCCTACGTGTTCTCAGTGTCTGTCATAATTACGGTGTAATATTGAAGCCCTAAAAAATTGCGCTTCAAAATGATCAAGAAGTGCCTCAAAAAAAATAAAAATCTTTGAGTGACCGGTTTTACCATACTCGTTTTCCCCAATAGACTGTAGTTTTATGAAAATATCTTTATAATCAGACAGGCGATCAGCTTGTAAAAGTCATGTTGTTCCTGACTGACCTAAATGTTTATAATTATGATTGCAGCATGAGCTTAATCCAGGATTTTGTTTCAGAATCTGAGACAAAGTTACCGGATCCCTTTGATACACAACGTGCAAATAATCATCGATTTTTTTGATTTTTTTTTTTATCCTCGCTGCAATTGAAGATTGTAAAAAGAACTACGAGAAGAGTAATTTGTTATCCTCTCTGTATTATATTCCCGAGAGACATGTGAAAGTACGTTAATTTGTGTCATCGCCAATTATCGTAATTCTGTCATTTACACGAATTATCTTTGCTACACCATAATTTCGATTTGTGTTATCATGACGAAGAGAAAGGTCCTATGTGTTTGCATTATAATCAATAAAATTTGAATATGAATTTGTAAAACCGGTCCTACGCCATCTACTCGTGTAAACTTCAAAGAACACACTTTTCCTTTCACCACCTGGCCATGCATGCATTTACATTATTAAAAAGGCACACAGGTACATCGTCGAATTGCAGATGACACTTCATGGCTAACTTATCACCAATGTAGCATCATCAGGGACAAATTCGGGACAACATGATATTACCCGTCATCACCACAATATATATATATATATATATATTTAAAATCTCTATTTTTGTCTTGGCGATGATTTCAGAATTTTGCAGGGAAAAACAAAACAAAACATGTGTTATATCGCTTCTGGCGACCATGAAACAAATTCAAGCAGAAATTGCCGCTTTGAGCATGTTGAGGTATGTTTCGGTATCCTGGCTCTGAATTCAAAATAACATGCGTCATTATAAGCGACAAGAATTAAAATGAACAAGCAAAACAGTTATTATGTCTCCTTTTTCAATGTAAATAATTTGAGCAGGCACACGCGTTTTCTTGTTAGGATTACAGAGGCGGATATGTTTTTGGGACGGTGTTTTGCGTCATTTCTGAACGAGCCTTTAATAATGTAATGACAAAAATATTCTGGAGGTGTTTAAAATAAAACAGAACAAAGCATATTTGGAGAAAGCACTTGTAATTAGATTTCTTTTAAAGTTATCTTCAGCTTTACAATCTTTCAATGATTTTGAGAGTCGGTTCCTAAAAAACCGGGGAGCTGACATACATGTATAACTCTGTCATTGGATGAAAGAAGACAAGGGGGGGGGGGGGGTTCACAAAACTTGTCATCAACTTGACAAATGACAGTTGTTGTTATCAGCTACTGAAATCCTTGCTTCTTATTGGTTATCAGCAGTTTTGTCACTGATATTTGTCCATTGTCATTGAAAAAAAGCTTTGTGAAACGGGTCCCAGATCGACATGGCTTGTGATGGTTATTTATAGAACTATTGAAGAGATGTATCATGGGGGAGGAAAATTTCAAAGCACGGTATGTGATAAAAAGTAAATTGAAGGCGAGGCGTTGAATACATGACATATGGCATAAAAGTCAATAGCTATCAATATAATAATAGATTTTATCCAAGCAATGCACTGTATCCGACACATAAGTCTTTTTTCTGTCTAATAACTTTATACACAATATCCGAATAAATTGTTATTCGTGGATTATGATTGAATTGTTGCCATGAGAACAGACTTAATCGCACTTCCATTGGCGCCAAAAATATCGCTCCCCTAATTCCAGACATGTCTATTAGGCAACCTTGCCTTACCAGATAACCGGTATTTTGTTGGAAATAAGGCAGATTCTGTCGGGTCATCTTAGGGTCACACTTTTATGATATTTTTATTATTCCTCGGTTGGAGTCTTGGTTTATCATCCATGTTGTGGATATCTTAAAATAATACATAATAATAATAATAATAACGTTTTATTTACCCAGGGTAGCCACTTCAGTTATGAAACTGCTCCTCCAGCGGGCCCTGCATAACATAATATGTTATTACTACCCTTCTGCAATCTAATATGCTGAGCGCCTAGCTAGAAGGCAGAAGGTCCCATTGTTATAAGTCTTTGGTTTAACTCGGCCGGGGTTCGACCCGCGACCTCCTGTTCATGAGCCACCATGCCCAGTATGGTAGATTTTTTGAGTGTTACTTATATCGATTCCCATCATCTGATGCATCTTTTCTTTCTTAATCTCAATTACTTTACAAATAAACTTATACCCAAAGAAGGAATACACCGGTGTCCCACTGATAGCCGAACAAGTGGTATTTTAAATATCAGGACTACTCCAAACTATCTACTCGATCATACTCCTAAGCTAAGGGCACTTGAAAACTCCCTTCAGAAAATTACCTCCTTGAACAAATGCCCCCTTAACCTATTATATCATTCCGGACAACTACCTCCCGAATGTTTCCTCTCCAGGACAACTATACCCCCTAGGACAATTA